ACGACGCTCACCGAAAAACTACTTTTCTCTTAGATGTATGTTCATAGACTGATTGTAATTCACAAGAGGGATGGAAATGAAAAACATTGATACCATATAAGTTATATTGATCAGAGTAATTTTATCCTCAGATAACAAATGAGCCATTTGCATGAATATATTCACCACTCCCGAATCTTCTTCAGTTGTGGTTTTGCATGATCAGACAGAATGTTATTGTCATATGTCGCCATTTATGTCTCATTGAAAACGATATCACATCGGAGCGATAAGAGCAACCGAAATACATTTTATCATCGATCCATTATTTACTATACAAAATCATCGCCTCTTCTTTGTACCACCCATCCACGTTCATATACAGATGAAAATTTGAATTCCTCAAAATATTTCATCATAACTCATTTTTTCAAATTGGAAATGGAAGCCATTTAATGGAATCTCTACTCTGGCCTTCGGTGAAATTTTTTAGATTCATGGTCATTACTGATTTCTTTTGAAAATGAATGAGGTTGGTCCGATCGATTCGATAAAATACTACGAGGATTGCTAAGCCCTCAAGTTTCACTCCCGAAGACTATTTCAATTGTTTGACTCATCATTCCGTGTAAGATCAGTCTATTATAACAAACAATTTAAAACCCATAATTTTTCAAAGAATCGATGTTTCTTACCTTAAAATTCTAATTTGCGGGAAAAATCCTAAATTTGTGCTTTAAATTGTCCCATGCTGTCGAACGAAATGTGTTTCGTGAAATTCTGATCGATATTTTTTCTCCCTTATGAAAAAAAATCCCCCCCCCCTCCCAAGGATACTTAACCTCCCCGACACCACTCATGGATCCTGTTTCAATACTTTTCCTCATCATTAGCCGTAAGCTTCGTTTTGTACAGGAAAAAGTTTGAAATTTCACAATTCACGAAAAATCTATTTTTTAAGTTTTAAATTTTGATTTGAAAAAAATCAAAACAGATATTCTGTATTTTTTTCTACTTTTCAAATGGAATTTATCCCATGGGATAAATTTCCATCAAAAGTTTTTTTTCTATGAGAAAAATGAATTTTCACAAGAGTAGTTTACCCTTCATATTTCACCCCCCGGAGACGGTTCTAATTCGCCTTTTCCTTATTCCTTGTGACCTTCATGATACACTGCGAAAGAGTTGTTCAAAAAGCTTCCTTATGTGTGCAATCGAAAAATGACCCCGAGAGGTTATCAACTTCAGAGAGCACTTTTACCCCCTAAAACACAATATGGGCAGTTAAAAAAAAATACGTGTCCCTTAGTTTTGGGTCCTCTATAACATATTTAAGTTTCATCGAAATCGGAGGGGGACACCTGCGTAGTGTTCCTTGTTAGTCATATTGATTCCTAGTATGGGCTAACTCCAGACTAAGCCTGGGTTAAACTCTGTTCAGATGCTAACTAACCCCTAACGAAATCCCCTCTAATGACACTTATGAAAAAGTCGTATAGAAATTTTCTATACGGATTGCGTATAGAAATTCTATAGGATTTCCATATATGATATTCGAATTTTTCTATGCGAATATTTTCTATACGAATTATTTCCATATATAAATTTTTACATAAATTTTTGTTTTCATACGAAAGATGTCTAAACGCTCCAGAGAAAACGTAGAGAAATGTCGCAACTACATATGAAATGTTTCTATATATGTGGCAGTGGGTCGCATAGGATCAAACCTATAGAAATCCTATAGAAATATTTTGTATAAAAAATATCCGTCTAGAAATATCTGAATATCATAGACGAAAACCCTATAGAAATTTGTAACGAGATTTTCTCGTTACGGGTTGAAATCTCCTTAAAAAGATAAGTGAACTCTCAAAATTGTTGAAGAGAGATAAGTAGTGACACCTAGAAGCGGCTGAAGAAAGCCGGGACTAGGTGAGATTAGCCACAAACCAATGAAAGACCTAAGGCATAGCGGTTATGAAACCGCGACCCCTGGAGGTCTGGAGGGCGTTACTAGACTATCGCTGTATTAGAATTCGCCCAGCATGTGCTAGGGGAAATGGGCCGACGTACAGGCCGTCCAACTGGGCGATTCTATAGGCTATGTCGGAGTAGGCTAGGGACCAACGGCCAGGTGAAAGGACTGGTACCTCCGTGATCCCGTCGGGTTGATTGGTGGGGATAGGGTAACGGAATGACCTATCGTCGCCGAGATATCCAGACTAGGAGGCAAGGCCCTAGTAAGATTCCGAGTTAGTCGCACGCGAGCGCTTGAACCGAGAGGTTGAAATAATCTCTCGGTGTGCTGGAAGTGGTGGATGGCTGAAGAAGCCATGGTAAGGAGTTTACTCAGCGTAGCCTGGTGCATAACTGTGGCGGCGAATATAGGGGGATGCCCCTGCATCCCCCGCGCGTAAATCTGAGTTATTTCGGAACGTGAGGTAACGACTTCGTCGTGTTCGGCGTCATCTAGTCTCGGCGGAACGATTCGAGGCGTATGGGCCCGTGGGCCTGGAGTCGAGAAATCCTCCTGTCGGTCCGACCATACGCCGACGGTCTAGTACTACCCGGAGGCAGTGACGCGCGATGACCAAAGCGGTAACTGGTGGTGGAGAGAGTGGGTGGTCGTAGCGTGGGTAACGTAGTTCCACCCTGGTCAGATCAGCCTCTCCACGTCCCAGGCTCTGAGGAGTCCCGGCTGAATCGCAAATAGCTCGGAAACTCTCCCGAGTAGAAATACTTGGAGAGAGGAAGCATGCCGGAGGAGTCGAGAGACCCTCCGGAGAAAAGATGAATCCCATTCAGTAGGGAACTCGTGCCGCGAGGCATAATCCCCGGCTTGCAAAGGCCGTGGAATGTGACGGTAATACTCCTGGTGGACCTCGCCCACTCTACCGTATCACGCTGATG